AAATAATATAATATTTTTGAAAATGTATACAAAACAAAATGTATTATTAGAAGAGAAATACATAATTTTATTAATTAATATATAATTTAGTTTTTATAGCTTAATCAACATTAATAGTGAACACTACAAAATAAAAAGGTTACTTAATTATATCTGGTAACTTTCTTTGATAATTTTGTTTAAAAAGTTGACTTTTCTGGCTCATCTGCTATTGCTTGTCGATCGTCAAACATTTAGTCGTCAGTAGTTTATTATTGGAGTTGTGAAAAAAAAATGTATATTTATAGAAAAAAAATTGAATATTTAGAACACTATTCTTGACTCCCATTTATGATTTAACCATGGTAATTATTTACAATATTATTAAATCAATAACTTGTAGTGTAATATAGGTTTAACAATAACATTTTAAAATAACAATATAAGGTACTGGTCTAGTTGAACCCCGCCCAGAAGGCAATTCTCCCGCCACTCTGGTTTAATTGACGCCCACCACATACATCTCTCGATTGTTATGATCAATAATCAATAATTTATTTAAAAATGTACGAATAATAATACATTATACATTTATGATTATACAGAATAATTCAGGCAGTCAAAATAAAAATATATTAAAAAACTGTCACAGGTCCAAGTCTTATGGAATTTTCGTTTTGCAAAAAAATTATTGCCGATGAAACATAATGCACATCACTATAAATTTGTGGGAAATTCATTTTTTTTTTTTTTTTTATTCAGATGTCGATGACTGAATAATTGAGGTAAGTGCTCCATAATGTTGTATAGGGCATCCGCTATTATACTATAACATTAATTTTACAGCACGGATTTTACCTAACATTATTCTTAAAATATCTGATTAGAGAATTTCACACAAATACTGTATAATATGATCTCATACCTTTTTTATCTGCACTCTTCAGTCTATCAGTATATTATACATTTTATAACATTGAAAATACGAGAGATGTAAGTGGCAGGCGTCAACTAAACCTGTGTGGCCGGGAATTGCCTTCTGGGCGGGGGTTAACTAGACCAGTACCCAATATAATTATAGTACTACCATCTTATTTGAAGTTATTTTTTATTTTTTGTTATTATTTATAATAATAATATTATAATTATGCTTATACATAGATTTTTATAGTAAAATATAGGTAATAATATTAATTAGAAAATGTAAAAAAACTAAAAACTAATTTTTATTATGGGTCACTGTTATAGGGAGTTACCACATAATTGAGACAATTTAAATACAGCAATATACTTACTCGACATCCTTTATACATTTCAACATTTTAATTTTCATTATTCTTTAATCATTAGGCATTAATACATAGTTATACTTTGTATTAATATATTTCCTTCATTTATAGCTTTACAGATAAACTGAGTTGTACTAAACATTTGATATTATATTTTTAAAAGGCTCTTTAAAATGGTATAATTATATTGTTAGATTTCATAATTGATAATTTATAAGTATTGAAATTAATTTTAATAAATACATTTATGAAATTTAATTTTATCAAATATTAAAATAAGCATTTTCTAATTATTTCAAATAAGTGTTTACTGACTTATTCACAGAAATTTAATATTTTTGGTATACATTTTTTTCATAAATGTTTACAAAACTTAATTTTCACTATAACAAATTTGATAATACAGTACCGTAAATAATTGAAAGGAAATTTACATAAATTTAATAATATTGAAAATATATAATATAACGAAATATTTACAAAATAAATGATTTTTCCTCTCGTAGGTTATAGATTTAAATTTGTTTGTAGTGATTCAAATAATATTATTCATAAGGAATTAGATTATTTTTTAAGGACATTTATTTTTATATAATTAAAAAAAAAAAAAAAACCAGATAGATTATAACAATAATAATATTACAATAATTATATTAATATCATATTTATAATTTATTTTATAAAATAAATATTTATGCTAATAATTAGTTTGAGCTAACAATTCTCAATGAATAAATAAATTACTGATAGTAATTTATTAACTCATATTATTGTTATTATAATGGTTCAGGCTGGCAGTATAACAATATACATTTTTTTATAATTTATTTAAATATCTATATTATTACAATAGTTAGTTTAAATTTAAATATGATAATTAAAAATTAGATCAAACCAACAAATAGTTGGGTATATCATTAATACGTTTCATGATATCCATCTGTAAAACATAATTTTTTGTATACAATGACTTATTTTAGATTTTAATTTAAGATAAAATTATAGTAAATTATTCAGTGAAATGTCATCTACTATACATTTAAGGGACTTATCAGATTTTATATTACAGTTTTTTATATTTGTGGTGAGGGTAGGTACTATTTGGATTTTATCACATCCTAATAAATTTAGATTGGTGCTACTATAACTATACATAACTACTACATATTATATTTGGACAAGTATGATTTTAATAACAACACTAACATTTTTCAATATTTMAAAAAAAGTTTTTCATCCCTCGACTACACAACTTCAAAATGTGTGTATAAAAGAATGAGGCAAAGGAAACTCGATAGAACTTCTTATATATTTATAAATAACTGCAGTGAATATTAATATTTAAAAAAATTATGTAAGCCAGTCAATATTCGGGATTAATAATATTTTATATGTAACTTAAGTTATGACTACTAATTATCAAGTAAATTATTATAATTTATATGTATTTTTATATAACTTTTTGGTAAAATATCATTAAAAAACAATAGAGACATATGTAATGTTCTTAGCTTAAAGTTTGGTAATAGATGAATTCAATTTAATATTAATAGGGAAAACACAGTTCTGGTCCTACTAAGTATAARATGCCTATGTTGTGCATGGATCAAAGAGATAAAACAAATGGAGTGCTACTATATTTTGTGTAAAAATAATAAACAAATATGCTAATATGTAACAACTAGTTTTGAATTATTCCACCATTTTATACAATTATTTGTAAATAATATAATTCCAGATTTTTTGGAAGACCTTCTTTGACACTTTTATTAAATAATYACCAATATGTTTACTATATAATGGAAGCCAATTATTATATTTGTAGAAAATGTGATACCTAATACATAAACCAACATAATTTCTAAGTAGAAAATAATAGTCAAATTTAAAATAGAATTATGAGTTGATACTCCTGTAGAATAATTATTGTCAGTTGTAAGTAATAAATCACAGTATAAGTTACCTATTTTTCTGTTTTAGGAAAACCAAAAATTCTTACCAAAGGAATTTCTAGCCAGTATCGCCAGTCTCGTGATATTTCACCAATAAGTGCTGTTGAAAAAAAGATTTCCAGTCAGAACCTGAAGTCTTGTGATATTCCATTAACAAAAGCTGTTAAAAAAAAGTTAGCTTGTAAGAATAGTCAGCTTGGTCATATTTCACCGATAAATGCTGTTAAAAAAAAGGTTTCTGATCAGAGCTGTAAGTCTTGTGATATTCCATTAACAAGAGCAGTTAAAAGAAAGTTAGCTGGTAAGAATAGCCAGTCTCTTGATATTTCACCACTAAAAGCTGTTAAAAAAGGAATTTCCGGTCAGCATCGTAAGTCTTGTGATATTCCTCCAACAGATGTGGCCAAAATAGTAATTGACAGTCAGAATAGTCAGTCTCGTAATGTTTCATCAATAAAAGCTGTTAAAAAAAGGATTTCTGGTCAGAACTGTAATTCATCTGATATTCCATTAATAAGAACTTCTAAAAGACAGTTGGCCAGTAAGAATAATCAGTTTCTTAATGTTTCAACAATAAAAGCTGTTAAAAAAGGAATTTCTGGTCAGAATTGTAAGTATTGTGATATTCCTCCAACAAAAGTGGCCAAAATAGTAATTGACGGTCAGAATAGTCAGTCTCTTAATATTTCACCAATAAAAGCTGTTAAAAAAAGAATTTCTAGTCAGAACTGTAAGTCATGTGATATTCCATTAACAAGAACTGCTAAAAGAGAGTTAGCCAGTAAGAATAATCAGTCTCTTGATATTTCACCAATAAAAGCTGTTAAAAAAAGGAATTCCTGTCAGAATCGTGAATATCGTGAAATTGCATTAACAACAATTACTAAGAGAGATTTAGCTGGTAAGGATAGTCAGTCTCACAATATTTCACCACTAAAAGTTACTAAAAAAGTAATTGTTGGTAAGAATAGTCAGTCTGGTGATATTTCACCAACAAAAGCTGTTCAAAAAGTAATTTCTGGGCAGCATCGTGAATCTTGTGATATTCCATCAACAARAGTTGCTAAAGTAGTAATTGCCGATCAGTATAGTCAGTCTCGTAATGTTTTATCAATAAAAGATATTAAAAAGAATTCCAGTGAGAATCATGAATATTGTGAAATTGCATCAACAAGAGCTACTACGAAAGAGTTAGCTAACAAGGATAGTCAGTCTCACAATATTTCACAAACAAAAGCTGTYCAAAAAAGGAATTCTGGTCAGAATTGTGTGTCACGTGATATTTGGCCAACAAGAGTTTTTGAACAAGAAGTATTTGACCGTTCTACAAGTATTGTAAAAAATCAAAAAAGAGAACTTGAGCAGCTCGATAGAACTATTGTGTTACTAAAAAAGAAAAAGTCATCACTTTTATTACAGTTAAAAATTGCAAAAAACCTTATCTCATTGGTTAAAACTTCAAAATGATTTACACCTGATAATTGGAGTCTTTTAAACAACCTATATCTTAAATCAATAAACAGTAAATGCTGCTATTTTATACTGCTCTAAATGATAAATATATTACAAGATATTGTATTTCATTTAATTGTTATAGGAAAAATAAAAATAATATTTTTAATTATTTTTTTAATGTAAGATAATATCATGTTTCTTTTATTTTGACATCCTAATATTTTATGTAAAGTCACTGTTATTTGGAATACAGGACAATTGTTTTGGGACTTTAAAATTTTAGTTAAGTAAAATTAGTTAAAAATTATATATTATAAAGTTGAAGTTTTAAAGTTTTCTCATTTTGTAATAATTTTTTTTTCAAATAAAAATATAATAATAATAATGAATAAACTTATTAATTTAACAAATCAAAAAATAAACAACAAAAACATTAATTAGATTATTTTTATACTTAACAAAAACAAAATTAACAGAACCTTTTCTTTGAAAAACTT